CCCCCTTCTATGGAACCGGCCCGGGCCCGGTTCGGGCCTTTTTTTGTTTTTGTTTTTTCATTGCTTTGGGCTTTTTCCTGATTTGGGCTGAGTGTTTTGGGAGGGTTTGGGGGGTGGGGGGGTAGGGGGTCGGGGGTTAATAAGAAAAGGAAAAAATATATATATGGACCCGGCTCGGCCCGGACCCGACCCGTACCCGACCCGTACCCGGTGGTAACCCGGGCCGGTCCCGGGCCTTCTACCAAAATTCAAAAGCCCGGCCGGGCCTAGGCCCGACCCTGCCCGAGTCCATGACTACATTTGAGTCAAGTTTTTATTAATAAGACGAGCTCTTAGCCTTTTCCTTTGTTGATTTATTAGTATTGAGACTTAATGATTTAATTCTATTGAAATATAATTTTTGACTACTGACTATAGAGTTGTTATACCGTGGAACCGACCCACTATGAGCGCCATGCTCTCAGGGGTAAAATTCGCATGAACAGTGACGCGGGTGAACAATGATTTTTTTTGTGTGTGTTTCAGTAGCAGGCTGGTGTAACCCTCGTTTAACAAAATGGAACTCATGTTGATAGGAAATGTATCTTGAGTCAAGTTGGAATGTAAGTTGTCTAAAGCGAAATATAAGAAAAAAACATTGATTTCAATGTAAACAATGAAACATTGATCCTAATAGCCCAATTACATTTTTTAAATAGTGAATACGAAGTATGGTTTATTTTTAATATTAGGGCTATAAAAATGATATAGCAGAGGTTTATTTCGCAGTGTAACTCGCGTACATGAAGATGTAACTTGCGTGCATTAACACGTAACTCGCGTACATTATGATGTAACTCTAGAAATGTTGAAATGTGAATTAGAGTTTTATTTCATAGTGTAACTTGTGTACATTAAGATGTAAATGGTGTATAAAATGATGTAACTCCGATCCGCTATATATATAAAAACCAATTAACTCCATCAATCAAAACCTGTTAGATTAATTTGAATGGAGAAATTTATATTAATCTGAATTTTATTAAAAATCAGCCAATAAATATTTAGGTGTTTATTGCTCAAAATACTATAATTGCTCAAAAATTCCATATTTGGAAAAGTTACTCGATTAGCAGGCATATACGTAATTTCATTGATTAAGCAGTTCATTGATTCATATGGAGTAGGACTTTGAGTTCTACAACTCCAACAATCCAGCCAAACCCTGGGCTACTTTCTTCTTCCGATTGTTTTGCTCACTGCTTAGTCATCGAATTGAATTCAGGAGTTGAGATGACTAGGTACAGAGCACAAGATAGTTGTTCAAGCTTGTGTTGATCGGAGATTCTGAAAGTAGGTGTTTATATTGTGCGGCACCTGGTTTGAGCTTACGAAGGAATAAAGTTTTGTTTGCCTTTTAATTGATAAAACTACGTAGTTTTGGGATCGATACATCATGTGCATGATGCACCAATCCCACGGTATAATTGTGCCTGACTATATGATACACAACTGTCATTGTCAGTAAACCATATTGATCACTTTCTTGTTTAATACTCCCTCCGTCCCAAATTGTTTTGCAAAGTCAACATTTTTTGGTCAACCAATAATAAAAGTCAATGCCCCGTATCGATAATTAAGTTAATTTTTAATAATTAAATTTTATATATTCAGAAACTACATTAAAATCTCTTCAAAGTTGTAAACTCCAAATTAGATTATAATTAAAAATTGACATCCTAATTAAGCGAACAAAATGAAAGTGTTTGACAAAAAAAGTCAAATTTGCAAATCAATTTGGGACGGAGGTAGTACATGAATAATATGCCAAAGGTCCTACCATATAGGCTGAGTTCGACACTCGATTGCTCCTATGTTCTAATGTTGTGTTTGTAATGTATATCAATATATTACAGAAATGCTCGGGTCTAGTAGTTCGGACAGGAGCCGCCATCCGAACGCCATCGTTTGGGGCGGTTTCCGGTGGAAGTTTTTGATAAATGCTTTTGAGTATGTTTCTCATCAAGTCTAGTTTATCCACAAAAAAAAACTAGTTCAAAATTGAATATGGAAGACTGTCGAATTCAAAACTTAATATAATAACGAAAAGAACACCGTTAGCACTCAAATTATTTTTGTGAAATACGGGGTAGTTTTTTTTTTTTTTTTTTTTGGATGAAGGGGGCTTATATTAGAATAATAGCATTCAGCAAGGATATAGAATAACAAGAGTACCACCGATAACCATCCGCCCTTGGGCCAGACTCTGAGTTAACCACCTTCAAGAAAGCAGTATAACTCGCTGATCCTAAAATGGGCATAATTGAGCCAACAATGGTTACTGCAGCACACTCGTCACCCGAGCCTAATGCAAGAGTCTTACAAAAGTAAACAAAACAAATAGCAAAAACAACAGTCTGAACGCCAAACGAAACAATTAAAACAATACTAAAATAAGAACCACCGTGGAACTGCTGCATCCACATCTTCACGACCACCTCAGGCGGGCCTAAGAGCTGAGGCCCGCCTCCTCCCCGTTTTTTGTGCTGTCCAGTGCCATCTCCTCTGCTGAGTTGTTATCCTCTGCTGGATCCTTCCAGACTCTCCTGCGCTTCTGATCCACCGAGACCTCCTCTGCACCACTTCTATTCTCTTCCTTTGTGCCACTACTTTCTGTCTCAGCTGTGCTCCCCTTACGACCCTGTCTCATAGTTCCTTCGTCGTCTTGCTGAATCCCCCTGTGATCACTCGGGCCTCCCTGTTTTTCCATCAACCACGTACCACCCCTTGTGGGGCTAATCTTCCCCCCACCCCCTGCTCTCAGATCAGCACTAAAATTTGTCTCCAAAACGAGATCCTCCACATATTTTAAAGGGCAAAATTTCTCAGAGTGCCCCATAATGCCACAAATGAAACAGAAACTTGGAAGCTTTTCATATTTAAAATCTACCCAGTGTCCTTCCCCTCTCTTTGTCAAAGTAGAACCCTTTTTTAGGGGCCTTCTCACATCCAACTTTACCCTAACCCTCAAATAAGAGCTCCACTTCTCCTTAAAGTGGCTCTCATCAAAACTAATAAATTCCCCAATATAGTTACCCACCCTCCTAGCAGTATCAACATTCATAAACTTATAAGGCACGTTATGCACTTGCACCCAGAACTCTGCTTCAAATAAGTCCATTTTATGAGGTATATCATTAGGACCAACCGCCTTTAGCAGTACCAAGTTTCGTTCAAACAACCAAGGACCATCTTCGATAACACGATTCATATCAATTTTATGATTAAAAGTGAAGAGATACCTCTTTTCATCAATCTCTTGGATGGTCATTCCTCTTCCAGGCCTCCAGAGCGATGTAAACAGTTCATGTACTGCCTGAGATCTGACTTTCCGGTTTGTATTAATGACTCCCACCACCGGAAACCCCACCGCCTTTGCATTTGGCACAGAATCCTCTTCCTCCTCATCATCAAAATTCAGCCTACTGTTTTCTTTCTCCAAAGCCAATCTTCTATACTGTTCTACCACATCTTCCATAGCTTTTGAGGAAGAAAAACCTGTCTGCCCAAGCCTTTGTGCTACCGACCTTCGCCCGTCTCAAAAGCCAAGAAAACGAAAAACAAAAGCAAGTGCTGGAGTCGTCCAAACTGCCGAGAATAAAGGAACAAGCAAAGCCGAAATCTAACCTTACCAAGAAGAACAAAATAACGCCCACCTCCTTCTGTCTCAAGTCTGAATCGATGACTGAAACGAGAAGGGAAAATCGAAGCCTACCCCAGGCGGCGGTAAAGCCGTACCCTAGAGAGAAAACCTTCCAGCTTTATTTTTTTTACTTGGAAAATCGAAGCCTACCCCAGGCGGCGGTAAATACGGGGTAGTTAATTAATAGGGATTATTTTTTTAAAATTTATGAGTAGGGATTGTTTTTGTAAAATGTGTAAATGTACGTATTATTAGTGTCAATTTCGCTTTAATTATGAATAGAATTGGAATGATTAGTGGATTAGTCCCCTTTCCGTATTATCACACGTAAGTGAGATCCAGAAGTGAAAACATCCTTCCTCTATAAAAATTAGGGGTGGGCATAAAACCCGAACCGAACCGGTACCAAACCGGCTCGTAATGGTACCGAACCGAATATCGGGTATTTAAACGGTTCTATAGATTTTTATCCCGAACCGAACCGTACCGTTTGAAACGGGTACATGATCGGTCCTAGATTTTGAGAACCAAAAAATACCAGACCGGACCGTTCAAAAATAATGCATTTGAATTTTTTATATTTTTTTCCATACCAATAAATATATTTTATAGACCAACAATTTTATACCCAAATATGTATTCATGTGTACCTAAAATAGCTAAATGTGTGTTTATGTGCATATTGTTATTTTTTAAAGACAATTTTGTGTTATATTTCTGTACGTATTGAAAGAATGTTAAAGTTTTAAACATTATTAATGACTATTCATTTCTACTAATGTAGTGTATATGACTTTTGTTGTATCATGTTTGTGAAATTGTACAACTTAATTAATATGATTTAAATTTTAGCTCTCACGATTCAACTATAAAATAAATTAGAACTAATATTTAACCTAGCTAGAACAAAGAAGAACGTTGAGTTTTTCTATTATATAGAACAATTTGATGATATTCTTTTTATATTTTCACATGAACGATGATGTTCATCTCGTGTATCATCATTTTCTTATACTTTTTCTTAGTTGTGTTGCACTATTTGTGTATTTGTGAATTTTAGTACTACGTATACAATTTCTTGTATTTATATCAACACTTAATGTGAATTGGTTGGTGTGATGTTATTTACTAATTGCAAGATTTGTTCAATTTTTTAGCATGTGTTTGACATTGTACCATACCGTTTTGCACCGTTCCGAAACGACATGGTACTGAATGATTATTTCATCCTTAAAATCGGACCTTTAAAAACCTCATGGATACATTAACGGTTTTACTAATTTCATGGAGCGCGCCCACCCCTAATAAAAATAAAAACTCTATTCTGTGATTTCTGTCTGGCGATATCCATTATGCCACTCTCCGTACTAAAAGAAGTACGTATATGTCAGATAGAGTTTGAAACTTCAGCATAATTGCTAGCGATTGATAAAGGAACCGAAATCTCTATGTATAAAGTCCTTATCATAAGGCTGCTAGAACTTGTATAGACTCGCAATGGGAGCCAGTCGGAAGCTTCAGGGAGAAATTGATCGAGTGTTGAAGAAGGTTCAGGAGGGAGTCGATCTCTTCGACAGCATTTGGAACAAGGTGCTATTCATTTCTCATCTTAATGAGAAGTGGGGATTAGCTGAATTCTGTATTCAGTTTTATTCACTGAATTTTATGGCTAGGTCTACGACACTGACAATGCCAACCAGAAGGAGAAGTTTGAGGCGGATTTGAAGAAGGAGATTAAGAAGCTCCAGAGGTACAGGGACCAAATTAAGACATGGATCCAGTCCAGCGAAATTAAGGATAAGAAGGTTCCTTGCCGCTGTCTTTTTGCCCTTTCATTGTACTGGCTTTCCCTTTACCCATACAACATAAGATAGTGTAAATTGTCACACCTTCTGGGTTAGTAAGTACTCTGCAGTTTTATAAGATATAAACAAATTGTGCGAGTTCTTGAAAACTAAGCTGTTAATGCCTTATCTGGGTTGTGGTAGCTACTCCGAGTACTTGATATTGTAATAGTAAAATATAAATAATGTTTTACAGATTTCTAATAACACCAGTCGTAGACTCTTATATAGATTCTTTTAGATGAAGTAAAAAACTATGGAGTAGGACTAATGCCACAGTTCATAAAGCATTTGAAGTTCAAATAATTTAAATCAAAATCTGAGTGCCGAATTGCACTTGTCTCGACTCCATCACTCAATGACACATTCTTAAATAGTTATACGGAGTATCCTAAATTCTTAATTCTCAATCTTTCATAACTTTGGTAGCACTCCAGACTACCTTCAATTTATTTATTGAAATGTTCACATTTACCCCAACCGAGTTACCCAGCAACTGCACAAGTAAAATCATCTAGTATTTTGCGGGTAACTTGGTTTTATTGATCATATTGGCTCAGGAGGCTAGTTAGTGCGCTCTAGTTCCAAATGGATGTTACTCTTCAAGCATCAACCTCAATTGTAAAATTACGTGTGCAGTAGCCAGTAGGCACATATTTTTTCAATAAACTTTCATTTATAACTTGAAAATCGTACAAGACTGTCTTCAACCAGTTATTTATTGGGAGGAAATAATAATTTGTTTCTAAAGATTAGGCTCAGTGTCCTGAGCCGTGGCTTTAATGTGCTGCTCGGTGTTTAATCAACAGATCGGCTAGCTAGGTAATTGAAGATGCTATGCTTGAGTCATCATTTGCTACAGTTTGTATGATATGACCCTGCTTTGATAGTGTCCATATGCTAGCTTCTTGAATGTAGCATGACCTAACCATACTTTTTGTTACTATTGGCTATATTTATCATCCAATACTTGCATTTGTGTGATGTCTTTAGACTTTAGTATGTATAGCAAGTGCTGATGGGAATTTCTTTGATATTCATTGACATAGGTAAGTGCTTCTTATGAGCAGGCATTAATGGATGCTCGCAAGCTCATTGAGCGTGAAATGGAAAGATTTAAAATATGCGAGAAAGAAACAAAGACCAAGGCATTTTCCAAGGAAGGATTGGGCCAACAACCAAAGACGGTGAGCATTGGCATGCTTTGCATACATGATTGTGTAGAATGTGTATTTTGAGTTGCAAGAAATGTAATTAACTAATAACTCCGTGTGTTTGCTTGGGGATTTTTTATGTTAATATTTGAAGTGAGTGCAGATGTGCAGGTTTACTATTTTTCATTAAAAGTTCACTGTTCTTGTAAGTGTTTGGTAGAAAACGAAGAGGAAGGAAGGTTCCATTTCCATTCTTCTCCTTTCTCTCTTCTGAAATTTGAATAATAGCCTTCAGGTTATATTAAGTTAAATTCTCTACATCATCAATTTTACCTACAACTAATAGAAAAAGGTTTGGAGTTTTTATCTTCTGGGAAAATACCAATCAAGCCTTCCATCATTTGCAATGGACCAAAGGCTCACTATTTTTTGGCTTGGGAATATGATGGAATAAAGCAAAATGGTTCACTAAACTGTTTGCTCTTCTTTGTTGTGAAGTGAAGTAGCAGTCAGTTCATGCAACTTTCGACGCGATTTTCACTACAGGTCATTCAGAAACAGTCTCTTTGTGCTTAAGTACATGGGTAAGACTGCGTACATCCGACCCCCCCTTACCCCACCGTAGGTGGGAGCCTTTGTGGCACTGGGGTGATGATGATGATGATGGAAAATACCAATCAAGGGTATTTTTCCAGGAACCAATAATATTTCAGATCAGCCAAAGGAAACAAGTGTTTGAGTAAGTCTTAAAAATTTATTAGATCCCTCCAAATTTCCATTTGAAAGTAAAATTGAAAAGGTCTTTTTTGAGTGACAAACAATTGAGATAAATCAAATTGAGTTATAACTGAAAACTAATATCAGCAACCCAACTTTCTCATTATGCCCGCACTTAGGTTTGCAAGCCCTTTATTGATTCAGCTGAATAAAAAATTGAAGTTGAATTTGATGTTTAATAATCAAAATTTGAGCCATGCTTTTAACAGCTGAGTTAAGACTAGTTTTTTTGAACTGATACTTTTGGGTATGTTGGTTTAGATTAGGATCATGCTTAAAGCTGGTGGTTACTAAAATATTGAATTTTGAACATCATGAATTTTCAGTTGGGCTATTAAAATTTAAGATTGCATTAGAATTGGATTCTGAAAACCTGTTCTTAGTCTTGACACGGTGCTTAGCACTCTGGAGTCTTAACATCTTAAGGGTGTATGTGATAACTTATTTTCAAAGACAAATGCCTTTTATTTTAGCATTATTGGAAGAAAAAGAATCCTTTGAAAAGAGAATTTAGCAAGTTCTTTTAATTAATAAAAACTCTTTTTATGCTTATTTTTAAGAAAGCCATTGAGAGGAGCTTTCTAAAGAATAACCTTTACTGCTTAAATGAGAAAACACATCTTATAAAAGCACTTATAGTGCAAGTTATCCTAAACATGCTATTAGGTTTGGAATTTGTATTTCCAGTATTTGCTTTGAAAATATGATTTTGATTATGTTAACTTCTTAGCAATAAGCTTTTGATTATGCTAAACTCAGCTTCAAGTTAGTGCTCATTCTGTTTTTTTCTACTTTGCCAGGACCCAAAGGAAAAGGCTAAATCAGAGACTAGGGATTGGTTGAACAATGTGGTAGAGAGTTGATTGCACATTTCATGTTATTTATTGCGATTTTTATTATTATTTACTGTCATACTTTCAACATATAAATGTACTCTGATTCCAAGTGCTTTATAATCAATCTTTTACATTTACACTTGTCTTTCTGTTCTTGACTTGTCGTCAGTTTGTCACTTGGGATGAGTTTATGTTGATTTTAATGAGTAATTTGAATTTAAAATGTTTTCTTTTGCATAGGTTAGTGAGCTTGAAAACCAAATCGATATCTTTGAAGCTGAATTGGAGGGACTTAGTGTTAAAAAAGGGAAATCAAAGCCCCCGAGATTGGTAAAGGGAAATATCTTAACAAAGTTAACATTGAGGAGATTATGAGCTATACCTATACGCTTGTAATTGATAAATGTTCTGCAGACTCATTTGGAGACATCAATTACTCGGCACAGGGCGCATATAATGAAGTTAGAGTTGATTTTAAGGTTACTGGATAATGATGAATTGAGTCCAGAGCAAGTCAATGATGTCAAAGATTTCCTGGATGACTATGTGGAACGTAATCAGGTTGCACTTGTCAATTAATATTGTTGTGTTTAAAAAAAATTCTATTTATGCCTATAATAACGATGATGGCTTTTTTTTTTAAGTAAATGATGATGTCACATTTTTTGAAGTAAATGATGATGGCATGGTTTTTTTTGAAGTAAATGATGATGGGATGTTAATATGTTATTCAAAGAATATTAGTAATGATATAAATAAGCTGTTATGCATTGTTTATTTCAGGTGCATTTGAAGCACAACACAAATCACTGAAAAACTCAGAGGAGAGCACACCTCAAATTTGTTCGAGAAACTTTTTTTTAAACAATTCAATGGAAAATATCTTCATAGAATTTAACATGAGAAGTTAGTTGAGAACTATTATTTTTTCTCAGTATTCCTTGTATGCCATTGAGTATGTAACTTCAGCTATATTTTTAAGTTTGAACTTGATTAGAATCTGAGTCAAACTTTTTATACTGATAAGTGCAACTGTAAAATGTAAAAAATAAGATACTCTTCTAAAGTATTAGTTGTAAGAATAAAAATCCCATGTTTAATCCAAGTTCCCCATTAAACAAAAAGTGGTAAAGAGAATGCCATTTTTGCAGGCATATAGACACACATGACTTTCGTTTGAGGTTGTTCATTGTGATGTATGCATCATTGCATCCTGATTTTTTTCTGTCAAATTTTAGGATGACTTTGATGAGTTTAGTGATGTTGATGAGCTTTATAGCTCTCTACCTTTGGATAAGGTGGAAGCTCTTGAAGATCTAGTGACCATTGGTGCCACTGGTCTTCTCAAGGTAATATATCCCTCTTGATGTGATTTTATTTTTGCTAATATGTGAATTAATTTTTGCTAATTTCGTGCCTGGAAAGCTGTTTTAAGCTTCATAAGAAAATGTTTCGTCCAGGTATTTGTCCCGCTTTTAGTATTTGTACCCCTTATTCAATACATATGGGGTTGTCTCCCATGTTTATCTCTTGCGTCAATTAAACTAATTTTAAACATGAAATTTGAGCCAACTAGTCAATGGACTGCTACCTCTTGGGTTGCTGTCCAAATTAAAGACTATTCAATAGGGCATTTCATTTTCAAGATGATCTGGAGACTATCATGTCCTCACCATAATCTATTGATGTTTTTTCAAAAATATTACTGAAATGAAACTTTTTACAAAAATATGACTAATAATTACTATAGTATAGTCTCATAGTCACTTAAGTGTACAAATTGAACATAAGTTACTAGGACTAAGTTACTACCATACTCACTACACTTAGAAGGTCACTTTTTGTAAACGACATTTATTTTAGTAATATAGATAGTATATGTAATTATTTCTAATCTATTTCATACTCTCTTCCACCACCATCAACGTGAATCACATACAGGGGCGGAACTATTCATGGGCCTGGAGGGGCTTGTGCCCCTGCGGCCTTGCAGCTCTTAGTGTATATATATGCATATAGGTAATATTATATCCAGTCATCCAGCCACGGTTAGCCACGGTTTTGCTCTCTGCTCTTAGTATTTGCCTTCTCGAAATAAGGATGTGGTAGTCAAAGGTGAAGCTCCTTTTACTAGGTCAAATGATTGGGCCTACTTGCCCACTTAGTTGGCGGCATTTTATTATGTATCCTGGGAGTATTAGGCTCTAGTTTTTGTTGGATTTTTGCTGGATTTTTGTGGGATGGGAATGAAATGGGTGATAAATTTTTATAGGAAGTATTTAGAATTACAGGTTGTATTACATCCCAAAAGCCGGCCTTTATTCATGAATATCGTTCTTAACGATTGAATTGTTTCATTTTATTTTTTGAGAAAATCTCACTAAGATAGATCACCTCATATTCAAATTAGTAAAGTTTGTGTATTTCTAAATCATTCTTACTTTATTTTTATTTTATCAATTTAATATCAACCACACAAATTTATTTTTCTTAATAACTGAGTCACCTCCTCTTGTCTCAATTTTAGTTCGACAAGGGTAGTACTAAATTAAATTCAAAAGTGACATATTCATTGACTAATTCATAGTGACTCATCATCTACCAGTGACTTGTCACTCTGATATACATCATTGTGACTCTTGTCCAGATATTCATATACAACGTCCAAATACATAATAAGTCATATTTTTTCAAGGAAAACTTTATTAGTAATATACATGTCATTTTTTCAACAGTATATTTATTACAGTCCTCAAGCCACTAAAATAAAATAAAAACAAAATACTATAGAATAAAATAAAAATAAAAAAGTTGTGTGCCGCCTATTGGAGACCTTTGTTACGTAGCAAGCCACAACAACCTAGAAGGCAGACGCAAACTCTTCCGGATGACTCATATAGTACGCAACGTCGTAGCCTATTGACCTATTCAGCACTTCCTCTTGCCACCATCTATCTCGTCGGAGCCAAAAAATTCAGGGTCACAGCAAGCCGTCCTCCTTGCTAAAGACCTTTCCTTTCCCACTATGTGCCCCTCCAAGATCCCTGGGCTGGTTCCGCCACTGATCACATAGAAGATACCCTCTAAACCTTACCGCCATCATTGCATAAATTTCTGGTTACTGGCTTACTGCCTCACAAAAGTTGTATTTATGAATGCTGGTTTTATACCTATACATCAAGGATCTATAAAGTTTATGTCGAATACCAACACTTTTATTGATAAAATGTCAATAGAAGATAATGGGTCTAAACCTAATAGCTTAGCCTATGTTATCTATATTTTCTAATACTCCCCCAATTGGGGCATCTAGATCATATGCTTCAAGCTTGACACAAACATGTTTCTAAATAACAAAAGCTGGAAGTGATTGTGAACTCCGTTTAACTTGAACTAATAACAGGTGTGGTTGGTTTTCTCAAACAAAGACAAAATATGTTGGCTATGTTGCACGGAAACGCGAAAATCATGAGGAAACGGGAAACAGGAAACATTACCTTTTGCTAAAAAATGCTTGTTTGGAGAGTTTCCAAAGAGTTTCCGAAACGAAAACGTACTCTTTCCTGAGAGTTTCCGTGCTACATAGGTACCAACTGAGTTGGGAAGCCACTGTGGACTACTGTTCATGACGGAAGACAAAATAGGGATGAAAATAGTCTATGATGTATTGATATCATGTTCAACGACACTACTAAAGTTTCAACTTGACAACTTCTAAAGACTAATACAAAGTTTATACGAGTATATAAATCTAATGGGTCTAAACCAAATGGCTTAACCTCTATGCATCTATGCTATACTTCAAAACTAACAAAAAAAAACATTTTTCCTCAATGCACTATGGGTTTAACTTGTTCTTTTGTTTTGAGGATTTAGGACTATGATACGCCAAGTTGTTGGGCAGAATGCTGATTTTTTTCAAGCCAGCACCTGTAAAAAGCTTGTATACACATAGTTTGTATATGTTTCACTGTATTCACTGCACTTTCTTGTGTAGTTTCCTATTCCCTGTTCTCAATATCTGATCGCAATCTTATCATGAATATCTAGTGTTCACACATGCATACAGTAGAGTATTTTTTGCTTGAGTTATTTCCATTTTGTTTTGCAGGGTGTGAGTGCTGTAGTAAGCACAACAAAAGTTTCTATTGCCGCAACACCTTCTCTTCCATCAGTATGTTTTAGATTTCCTCATCATGATGATCATTGAATGGTGTATACAATAATAGAAATGCATTTTCTTACGCTTTAGTTTCCTTATTGGGGGTACGGTGTCGGTTAAGTTGGCTGTGCTTGTCATTTCACGTTGTTTGACAAATACACTTACTGGTATGCTGTTTGCACGATTATTTGCTTATTTGCTTTACTTGCTTACTGTGTGTTCTTTTCTAGCTTACTTTTCACGCTGCCCACACTACATTTCACTACTTGCTGATGGCCTCCTCTCTACCCCTTGGGGCAAGAATAAGATCTATGTACATCTCACCCTCCCCAGACCCTGCTTACAAGCACGATATACCGGCTGGTTTTGCTTGCTTGGTTTAGATGTTAATATTACACTTGAAGACAATCTTAAAAACATTCAATTCCCACTTGATGCACATGTTGTTTTGAGTGCACTCAGCGACATATGCAGTGATGTTTTATTAATATTTTTTAGCTAGAAGCATAAACTCTTCCTGCTCTAGAAGTCGTTCACTTTGATGCTTGATTTGATTTATATACCACTGCCTCTTCAATCAGTTGTATGGTTTTACTTAATTATTATTTGACCTTATTTGATTGATTCCTCTTTCCAGGTAACAATAGCACCTCCTGCTCTGCAAAGTGGTCCGTCCCAAGAGCAAGCAGATGAAATAGGTTACCAAGAGAGTACCTCTGATGCAGTTGCTAGAGTCTCACATCTTAAAAGTGGTGCAGTTTCTTCTTTAGTTCCAGCAACACCTGTTGCGCCCCGTGCAGTCCCTGGTGCTGACCTCTTCCCTTAACTTAATAATGTCAACTGATTTGGCTGTGTTTTTGTGTCTTGGTTCTTGTTATGGTCTATTGGATCATGCAGTTACTGGTGTTGCTTCATCTCCTATGAATGTGCCAAGTGCTATAAAAGTTGAGGAGATTACTGGGTTCCCTGGCCGGAAAGCATCTCCAACACACACTGAAGCTGGATTAAGGGACATTGATAGAAATGGCCTCTCTAGTCAACCTGCAACCAGCATTTCACTTGGTTCTATTAATTCACTATCTAACGATGGAGCTATAGGTGCTACTCCTGTTTCAGAAGTGACAAAGAGACATGTTTTGGGATATGATGAAAGACTTGGGAGTACTGGCACGGGGCAGCCTCTTGTGTCCCCTTTGGTCAATCAATCGAGCATGCCACAAGCTGCTAAGTCTAGTGAGGGAATGGGCACTAGTGAAAGTGGTCCTGGTGGTGAGTCCAATGTTGTGGGTGGTAGGGTTTTCTCTCCTTCTGTTGTGCCTGGAATGCAGTGGAGGCCTGGGAATTCCTTTCAGAATCAGAGTGAAGTGGTATGTGGGGTTCATTTCATTTTGATCTCTTATCCGAGCTTTTGTTATTGTCCACTACTCACCTTACACCCTTGAGATACGGCATTAATGGACATAAATATTTAAATGATTATTTTGTGCTCTTGAAGTATGTTGTTTCTTCTTTTTTATGCAGCCATATGGCCAATCTTAAGTCTAGATATTTTGTCCTTTGTCATAGTGTAGGAAGCTCTCAGTCTAACCTTGTTGAAGTAGAACTACTCTCAACCTTTAGATATTTCGCTTAACTTGTTACTTAACCTTGTTAATATATAGTTTAGGATTACATTATAGCTTTACTTCTGTTTTTACTTTTTAGGGACAGTTTCGTGGGAGAACTGAAATTGCTCCTGACCAGAGGGAGAAATTTTTACAACGGTTTCAGCAAGTGCAACAACAGGGTCAGAGTAATATTCTTGGAAACCACAAACTGTTCTATGCACAGCATCAGAATCCGCTTCTCCCTCAGGTATTGCTTTTAGAGTCCTTGAAGATATGATTTTTCATCAACATTCAAATCTATGTTTGATTTCACTTTTACTTTATATTTTTTTTGGTGTTGCAAGTTGTAAATAATTAAAGGATACGGTTATTGTGACCTATCCAATGATGAATATGCTGTTGTTATGACTTATGAGTGTGGTATGGATCTCGTCCAAGGTCTAGAATGAGAGAGAGGTAGAACAAGAGTTATGGATGCATCCATCAGGATTTCCATATCTGTTGCATTAGAGAGAGAGAGAGAGAGTGTTTCAGAATAAGCATATGGGAGAAATAGGTGCCCAACCTACTCAAGACACAGACATATTAATTCTTCGAAGTTATTTATTAATCTATAATGAAGAACCGCATATAGCTATTACAAGAATCTTAATCATATAGGAACATAAAGCTTAAGGTAAATAAGAAGCTGACTGAGACTCAATAGGAAGTAACAATATCAACACCCACCAGAATCGACTAATAATAACACTAATGGTATTTAGGTATTAATAGTAATACTAAGAGCAGTAATAATCATATGACTCCTATTCTCCTAATAATAATCAGACTTATTAGGTCCTTTTCGGCATTCATGTGGCCCTAACAGGAGACACGTCGCTCACATTATTACTTCCTTTGTAGACGTCAAGCTTGTCATCAACCTTGAAGGAAGTCACCCATAATGGAAACCTTATCACGATCAAATGGCGCCATTAGAAACAAATAATCCACATGTGATGGCACTCTTGATTTGTTGGACTACGGAGATACTCATTTGCAGATACTGGTAAGGCAAGCTTATAACGACCCTGAAAAGAATCGTATCATCTTTAATAAGGCCCCTTTCCTTTAACCTTTCTTGGATCTGCTCACATGCGCCATAAACAGGAGTCATTAGACTCATTACCCATTACTGTGTTTCACCACCTTTCGGTCTACAGTCTACTTGATCCATTTTAAGTTGACTAGTGAAGTGTTAAGATCAGTCTATAGGTCCTTTAGACTGCCTTCTTTAATATCATGAACCCTTCAAACAATTTCAGAATTAAGATCAGGGCATCAGGCTGATCAGCAGGTTTCCCTCCAGCAACTACGCTGACAGCCGTTACCTCTTTACTATTTTTTCCTAATACTGCATAGTATTGTAGGCCATTGCATGAGCATCCTGATGTATTATTAAGTCGGATATGATAACGTGTCACAATGAGCTTCTCAAAGCTGCTGAAAGATAAAAACAAGCAGCTAATCCTTGACTCTTAGATCTTTACTTATTGCCGTCAACTCTCTATAGAATCCTCCCGAAGGACTCAGGATCCAGCAAGGTATTGTTACTGCTATTTCAACGGAAGGAGTCAGCGGCAATGATCTTGGTGGCGGTAGAACCCTCAGGGGCGGTGACTGTAACATCACTGGAGGCAGTGGCGAGGATGAGGCTGAAGGTGGTGACGAGTTTACAGATTGCATTGGTAGAGGAGTAATGACAGAAGCCGATTAGGGCGTCACGTTTGCATATAAATAAGCCCATGGCATTCTCAGGATTCAGGAGTAGATTTCTGAATTTGAGTGTCACTTTTGTAGTCTTGTTTTACAGTGATTTTTGTATATATGTTACTCTGCTAAAGACTCACTATTTTTTGGCTTGGGAATATAATGGAATAAAGCAAAATGGCTCACTAAACTATCTGCGTTTCTTTGTTATGAAGCAGCAGTCAGTCCATGCAAATTTCGACGTGATTTTCACTATGGGTCATCCGGAAACAGTCTCTTTGTCCTTTAGTACAAGGGTAAGACTGCATACATCCGACCCCCTTACCCCACCATAGGTGGGAGCCTTTGCGGCACTGGGGTAATGATGGTGATGGTGGCGTGCTAATGTTAACTTCATATCTGCTACATGATCTAATATACAAATCATATTGCCCTTTCTAGGGATGTAGCGGTGTAGGTGTTATGTCTGATCATACGAAGTGCTTTTCTAATGTACTTGCATAGTTTGGTGTTGCTTCATTTATATAGATCTGTTTTGTCCAAAAAAAAAAAGGAAAAACTAAGTTCAAACTCATAAGTAAATATAATATTAGCAAAAATGACTATTGGACGGAATAACTATTTAAGAATAAAACTTTATCACCCATACCATCTTGGATCACGGCTCCCCTGCAGCTGTCCAAAATGTATCAAGATCATTATATATATGTTTGTGTGTGTGACATTCTGAACCACCCTTTAGAAGTTCATATGATCTAATGGCCTTATAATAGAGTTTATTATGGATCAATTGTGCTATTGATAAACTATCACTATTTTCATACATACTTTAATACTCTCAACTTGTTTATTTTTAAATATTTTGTACTGCTGTCTGCTGCAAGTCTCTTGTAATGTGATTCTATGAATGAGACATGGATGTACCAGAAACGTCATTAAAGAAAAGTTGATGTTATATCAACACACATAATGACATAATGCTCTTCATTATTTTCTCAGATGTTTAGATCAATGTTTTATTGGGATTTGGGGGGTCTTACCCCATGCTCTCTTAACCTCAAATGTTATATACTCTCTTTCATTTCGTTTCAGTTCAATTCTCAAGTCTCCTCTGTGACTCCTCAACTTGGATTGGGAACAGGAGCCCCTGCTGCTTCCCTTAATAATGTTACTTCATCGGGACTATCGCAGCAGCAATCAGGTGTGACCCATTGACCATCTAACTCTTAAGGCATGAATTATCGATATTAAGTAGGAAAGCGATATAAAGACCTTGATTTTGTTTAATAGTAATAATAGATTTTTCTCCCTGTGACTAATTTACTCTTGAAAAATTCATGATTTAATTTTTTTTATGAAACAGCCAAGGTTGAAGAGGCACTCAAAGCTTTCATACATAGCTGCTAAAAGTTTTCATATAATGTTGCAGATGTTGGGAGGCACTCAAAGGTTGAAGAGTTGCAACAACAGGTCCTGTGTGAAGATGTTTTGACAGATTCTGCTCCTTCTCCTGCACCTTCCCCGAGCCTTGTAAAGAATCTCATAAATGAGGATGATTTTAAGGCTTATGCATTTGATACGCCCGTAAATGTAGGTTTTTTTGTATTATATATCCATTTGTACCACATAAAGTCATGAGAGACCAGATTACTTTGAAAAGTTGCAAAATAGATGACTTAGTGATTTGTAGAGTTTAATTCTCCCGTCTTCCATCATTGTAAGAAAAACACATTTTCCTGGATTGATTTATTTAATTTGGAAAGTAAAACAGTCTTTCAGAAAATGCTCCATGTTGCTTTGCACATAAATTGCTAAAACTGCCAGTACTCCCTCAGTCCTAAAAACGTCCTGTTTGAGTATTATACAACCTTTTAATTTTAGTCATTTCAAAGGTACAAGTTTTAAAAGTTATGAATGGTCTCTTACTTATATCCCTACAACTTATTTCCAATATTTTTTGAAATATGACTAAACCACTTCTCGCTTGGCTTTAGAATTTTTTTACTTGAAATGGAAGTTACTTCTAAAAACCACCCGGGACACAAAAAGTTGTTGAAACAGGGCTCTTTTTTAGAGAGGGAGTAATGGATAGTGAGGGTTCTTTTTGAAAACGCATGCCTTTGTTTTAGAGGCGCACAATAATTATTAATTTATTGACATACTTATGTGTAACACACTCCTCTGTTGCAGGGTGGAGTGGGTAGTTCTCTTGCAGAGCAACCTCAGCAGCTTCCAAGGGATATTGTTGATTTATCTCCTGGGCAGCCATTACAATCAAATCAACCCTCGGGTGGTAGCCTTGGAGTTATCGGTCGAAGAAGTGCAGCTGATCTTGGTGCAATTGGTGACAACTTGACCTCACCACCCGCGAATCCTGGAGGAGTGCATGACCTGTTATACAACTTACAAATGCTCGAGTCTGCTTATTACAAACTTCCTCAGCCAAAAGATTCTGAGCGTGCTAAAAGCTATACACCTGTAGGCAAAGCTAAGCATATTACTTACAGAGATTAAATTGGTCACCTATGAGGTGATCTTGCTGTGAGATGTGACCAAAGTGTTACAATACTTTAAAGGAAAAAGATTTACCTTTTTGAAAAAAAGGAAAAACAACAGTTTATATAACAGTATTTACTTTTACCTTTGTAGTAAGCGTAATAAACTATGTTCACATTTCTAAATATTCTTTTGCACCCAATTTAGAGTCATTTTTCAATAAATGAAACCACATTTTTATCTAATTTGCCAAAACAGTATTCATATAAACAATTTAAATATGAAAAGTTTAGTTAAACATACAAAAAGTTTAGTAGGATTTCATAAATTTAACGTTGTACCTTGAAAAGTGGTACCTGATCAATTATTTTTTATAATTTTTTTGGGTTTTGTCTCACAGAAGATTTACTATTGCATTTGAACAATTTGTGTCATTTCAAGTTATACATGCATTTGGCATTTTGACAGAGGCATCGTGCGGTGACCCCTTCAAGCTACCCTCAAGTGCAAGCGCCGATTGTTAATAATTCCTCATTTTGGGAACGACTAGGGGCTGATAACTATGGGACTGACACTTTATTCTTTGCATTCTACTACCAACAGGTGCGTTGCCCCCATTATCTTTAAAAGTACAGGCCAAAATGGTCCAAAATAATCATTATGTTATTCTTGCACAATATTTGTAGAACACATATCAACAATACTTGGCAGCAAAGGAGCTGAAAAAGCAATCTTGGAGATACCACAGAAAGTACAACACATGGTTTCAGCGGCACGAGGAGCCTAATATTGCCACAGATGATTATGAACAAGGGACATATGTTTATTTTGATTTCCATATCGCCAATGATGAGCATGGCTGGTATTCTTATTTTTTCATGAATTTTTGTTGCTTGGTGGCTTCTTCGTGATAAAAAATTATCTATTATCCTTTATCAATGTTTGTTTATATATCTGAAACAGGTGTCAGAGGATCAAGAATGACTTCACATTCGAGTACAATCACCTTGAAGATGATCTAGTTGCTTAGGATTGTTCCTTGAAATATGTCTTCATTAGGTTATGATTTGTAATCTCCCAATTTCTTCATGCCATCTAATATTTAATTGGAAAAGTTTATCATTCATGCATCTGCATTCTTACAACTCTAATGATATCAAGAGGTGGGTTCGGTAAAAACGTTTCACCTTTGACCGAATGCCGAACAAAATTCTAGTATATTTTGTTACGTTTGGTCTTTGCAGTTTAGTACATAGAACTGCATCTGTGCTGTTTGGTTTGTTCTGGTTCATTTTTCAGGCATTTACTAGTTTTTTTTAATAAAAACTTATCTTAAAACATTCAGATGGGCGTAAAAAGTTTGAACTCACCTCATAAATCATACTTCCTCCGTCCCGCAAAATATTTCCCGTTTTCCTTTTTGGGTCGTCCCAAAAAATAGTTCTCGTTTCCCCTTTTGGAAAGTTTTGTGTGGCTCACATTCATTTACTTTTTTCTTACACAATCACAATCATACATTTCCACTTTATTCCTACTTTTTTAAACTCCGATCCAAGTCAATGCGGGAACAATTTTATGGGACGGAGGGAGCAATACAAAAGAAAAGCTACCTAGATAATGACACAACAAATAGCACAAGAAAAAAAAGATATAGTTATTAATTAAACCATAAAAAACAATATGAAATATACTAGTTCATTCGGTGTTATACTGTTATGCCTTAAATGGTAGAGTGGTCCTAGACCTCATGATTAATCATTTTGCATCAATATATTCATTTTTTTTTCATTAATTCATTATGACTGTCACATTGTTTCTTTTTTGTTTTTCATAGGAGTATAGGACCCCTCATCATGACTATAAATTGAGTATTTGAGTTTATTGACACACTGTTATGACATGTGGTTCCATATTAAAAAGTTAACTTTATACGAAGAGTAATTCAAAATCTTATATAATAATTTAATAATTTTTACTGGTGTGGAAACTACTTTAAAAGTACTTCAACACTAATTAGAACAAAGAAAAGTAGAAACAATATAAAAAATAGAAGAGCATGAGGTGTTAAAAGCAAAAAACTATGATCATAATTGTCCCTTGATACTTTGCTAACTTTCAATTTTTGGCTGTTCTACTAATTTTGGCACTTTCCCTTTTTATTAAAGAATTTCCGTTTTTTGTTAATTATCTCTCCTCTGTATAAACTTCAAGTACACTTACTTTATAAATCCCCATGTTGATCAAACTCGGCCAAGTTTTAAGAGATAGCGGGAGTATTATATTATAATAGAAACACCCATGAGCAATTTCTTTTATAGCATATTGTAATTATCCTTTAATACACACATTGTAATTGTAAGAGTATAAATTTAAGAATTAATCTGAATTCTGAAATGAGAGGAAATAGAATATGAAATTTCAAATAAGAGAATTATGTTTTTATTTGATAAAATTGATATATATTATTCCCTAAATATGAGCAATTATTAAGTGGTTTCGTATGATATATAAAAGACTATCTCATACTCTTATAGTCTTATTGTACTGAAACTTTGGATATGTTAAATACAGATTTGTTACCTTTTCGAAACTTCGATATATGGACATGTGTTGAGACCCATTTGTTGCAGGCCAGGCCGGATCCGACCACACTAATGAACAAAAAACTTTAAAAAGGCCGGTCCGAGTTTGCTATCTACTATTGAAAAAGTCCGAATTATTTAATATATGGTCAAAAGACAAAAAAAATATGAGTATTATTTATTAATAGTGTGATGAATACAATAGTGGTCAGGGATGAAAATGACAATATTACATTGAATAAGGGCAAACCTTGAACCAGCCAAACGGTTTGCTTGTAATCTTATTACGTAGTATATTAAATAACTGGATATTAGATACTTATATGGATCTTATAATCTTGTGAGCTAGTGTATCCCATTCGGCCATTCCCAGCTAGGGTGGACTGAACTGGGTCCGCGCCGGACTCCGGGTCGGGATTGGGTGGGCTCCGGGTCCAAAATTATCAGGCGCGGTACCGGCCTGGGTTTGTACCGGGTCGGGCCGGTCCACTAAAAACAAAGCTGGGTAATGCTGCTTCTTCATCTGGCTCGGGCCCCGGGCTTGGTCCCGATTCCAGTCAACCAAGCCGGGTCGGGCCTGCACAGTATCGGGTTGGGCCAGGTCTCTGTCGGCCAACCCGTCCCAGTCTACCCCTATTCCCAGCTAATATTTTTACTTTTGACTGAAATTTGCTGATCTGGTTTGGTCTTGTTTGTTTAAGTCTGGTCTGATTTGGTCATAACTGGTCTGATCTAATTTGATAAATGTCTGGTCTCTGTGAATTTTATAGTGGAAATATCTGAAATCAGCCACTCTTGTTACTTGGATTTCATTAATGTCCACTCGTAATTTTCTTTTCATATCTCAACTTTCAACTTTTCAAAAACTTTTTTTTTTTATTTAAAAAACATATCGATATTCCCCGTCTCTTCTCTTTCGACTCTCTTCTCCCCCGTCTCATCTGCCATGGTTCTTCCTCTCATGCTTCGACCTCCACTCTCTTCTCTTTTCCCCAATCCCCCAGCTCCAGCCTATAGTGTCTAATCATTTGTTTTCTGGCTCCTTTGTGACTCTGAAGCATCGATGCTACCTGGCCACAATCGCCAGTCACTGTGACTTTCGACACTAACTCGCCGGTCACTTTTATGTCCTCATAGCTTGATTGCATGCCTCGCCAGATCGCCAAACTGCTCCTAGCAGACGAACGAATTCTCTGGATTTCTAAACTTTTGAGCTTCTAACCTATTATTCGAAGGTAATCTCAAATTTATATGTGAATAAGTGAATTTGTAAATTTGTAATTCCGAAGCCTGAAGATGCTTGTTTTGAATTATTTTTGTTATCTGAGTTATGAATTGCTTAATCCAAAAGCCTCAAATTGCTTAGTTGTATTGATTTGTAAAATTGTTATACGTACTGTTACTAATGCCTCTCAATTATTACATTTTACTTTTTGTTATGATATTGAATTGAGTGTAGTGTATTGTTTTCTAAATAAGCTTTAGTTGTGGTTTAAATTCTCCTTTCTAACTAATGTTTTCTACTTTTGGCTCATGTGCTCTCCTTGATTTTGATTTGGTTTATTTTATATCTTGATGTGCTATTTATATTTTTACAAATATGCTTTGATGTCTAAAATCTTTTTATAAACAACGGTACACTAGTGTAGTGTTTCCCCTAGAGATGAAGCTGAGCAATACTTCAATAGATGATGCAAATGTTGAGTATTCATTGTTTGAGTGGTAGTCCACGTAGGGAGTGGGTCTAAGGACACTATGTCACCCTGATGAAAAGTCACTACCATTATATACTAATCTTCTATACAAACATACTTTGAATGAACACAAGAATACTCAAGCAACACTAATTAATGAATCATTGTTGCTAAATCTCAAGTATACTGATTAGTAAGTAATAATGATCACCAGTTTATTAGGGGCATTGTTTTGTGATCTTCTGTTTATGCGTGTTTGATTTTTTATGCCTTTTGCTAGCATGTCTCTTGTTGAGTATGAGATTTTGAGGTTCTTGCCCTCTCTGTTAGCGGCTGGGGTGATCTTTATAGTTCAAAGTAGTCTGATTGGTTGCTGGGACATAACTTTTGAGAAGTATATTGGATATATATATTCATGGTAAACGGTTGGAGTGCTCAAAGATGATGATTTCTTTTCATCATAAGGGAGGAAGAGAGGAACTATAAGGGAGGAAGACAGGAACTGGAAAGCTAACTGCAGCATTCAGAAAGTACATTGCATTTAAATATGGCCGTGTTGCTAAGGATGTGATTTTCAATTGTCTTCAAAATGCATCTATGTTTTATTAGGTGTGGAACTAGGATTGAACACCTGGTGACTGGTAAGGTTGGCATCGGGAGGGGGGGGGGGGGGGGGGATGCTGCTGCAACAAAAGCTATTACCGGAAGGTTTGATATGCATTTCTCTAAAAAACTCTCCTATCATGTCTTGGTTTTGAAATGTACTTGCTACTTTTTCTTATAAGCTCATGAGTCCCATGATCATATTTTCATGACAGCGCATTCTAATTGTAGGTGCATGACAGAAGACATGGCATGGAGATGATAATAAAACCGAGAAGATCAACGAGCAAAGAAACACAAGGAGACAAACCTGATGGATTGTGTGTTAAAATGCATATATGGAAGAAGAATGTGAAGAAACAATGTCAAATAGTATAATACTGTAAAAAGAAGAAGCAACGATAAGAAGCAAAGTCAAATAATATTGTAAATGTACTGAATTGAAACAATAGATAAAATTATATATCTATTTTGGTACATTTATATGTTGTTTTTTGTTTCATTTTGTTGTATGGTATGTGTTGCTTTTTGTTGCAAAATGTTGCTTTTTGTCGCAATGCGTTACTTTTTGTTGCAACATGTTGCTTAGTGTTATTTATAGTTCATTTTAATATTTAATATTTATTTATATTTCCACTCACCTCTGATGCTTCTTTGCAATAAAAAGTAATATATAGATTTGCATACAATTAGCTAAAATAATCAATTTGGATTTATGAATGCCAACTATAACAAGAAACCTGAAGAAACAATAAAAAACAAAAATTTCAAAGATATAAACAAAAATAAACACAAACAAACAATAGGAAACAAAAACTAACATCGAAATGATAATAACAATTATTAGATTTTGCGACCATTTTAAAAGTATTGAGTTACAAAAGTCACATTTTTTATACATTTTTCAATTTTTTCAAGTATGTTTTTTTCATTTTGTTTTCATTTTTCACGTTTTTATTTATGAGTTTCTTATTTTTACATGTTTTTTATTTACTGTTTTATATTTTAAGAATTTATTTTTGGTTTTGATTTTATCTGATTGTATATTACATTTTTCGAAATTTTCAAATTTATATATTTATTAAAGTTTCTTAGATTTTTAGTTTTAATATATTCCGGCTTTTTAAAAATTTACTCTTTCTATAAAAAGCTTTAAATGCTTTTCATATTATAATAGATTCAAAACATGTTTACTTATTTTACATATTCTGTCTGCAATTTTAGGTTTTCATATTTTAATACTTCACACGTTTTATAGTACAGTTTACATCAATTTTTCTAATTTTAAAAAAATTAATACAATTTTTTCAAATGTTTTAAAATTTGTGTGTTTATTTGAATGTGAAAGATTGGTTACTCAGCCTATAGCCCTATAGTCCAATTTAAAAAAATCACTCTTTCATAAAA